TTCATTGCCACGCTTCATCCCCTTATATCGCCCCACCTTTTAACTCCCTTTTATGAGGTCTTCCCCCATTAGAATATAAGGTCCTTAAGAGCAAGGAGTGTCTTTTTTTGTCTGTTTTTGCTTGTATTTGTATACACAGTGCTTAGCACAGTGCAAGACACATAGTAATTACTTAATGAATGTTTGTTGATTTGACTTGTTTATGAAGAGAGCAGATGGCTAATGAAGGACTGTGAGAAGTAATATAAGCTAAAAAGCAAAGCAATGATGCTAAAGAATTCATGTTACAGTCCCCAAAAGGTATCCTACTGTTGAGACAGTGGCAGATGTTGGAGTTGTACAATGCAGTATTGTATTGTATTGAACTATCTAGATAGCACCAACTGCTTCCGGTGCCATGGGTGAGATCAGTGACAGTTCAATACAATACAATTGGGCAAGTTACTTAACCCTGTTTGTCTCAGTTTCCTCGTCTGTAAAATGAACTGGAGAAAGACATGGCAAACCATCTCAGTATCTTTGCCAAGAAACCAACTGCTATCATGAAGAGTCAGGTTCAACTGAAATGACTCAACAAAAACAAACAACATTAAGGTGATATTAGGATGTAGTCTATGACTTATAATGCTAATGTGGTATCTTGGCTGTATGAAAACCCACGTAAAACAGATCAAAAAGGCTTCCTACCCAACAAGACTTACCAGAAAAGAAAGGGTGGGCCAGTCACTTATGTACCCTGGGCTCTTCAGGGTCAAGAACTGTCTTTCTTTTTGTTTGTATTTGCATCTCCAGAGCTTAGCACAACTTCTGGCACATAGTAAGTGCTTTGTAAATGCTTGTTTCCTTCCTTCCTTCTCTCTTAGGATATGGATTTCTGGCCAAGATCCATTCTAACCAAGGGAGATGCTTTAAAAACACATTACTCTAGGAGATATTAGTTCTGGCTGGCATTAAGAAGTCTAGAATTATTCCTCAACATCCCCACAGAAACCCACAGCCTGAGCATTTCAACCACATGCTGCTGAATATGTTAGAAACACAGGGAACATGTGGCATGTCTAACACATACATACAATTCAAAAAGGAATGACACCAAACTTGATGATATTTGGGCAAGAGCCACACCTACTTATTGACTTATGCTTTGGAGTCTCAGAAGACAGAGAGGCAGCAGATATTCACATCCTTGGCTGAGGAAGAAACTGAAAGAAATGTACCTCCTAGTCAAACTCAGCTCAGGTAAATTCTAACAGACAGAAATGACAGTACAATGAACAACTTTGTGGTCAAGACCTTCAAATTTAGACAGTATTTTGCTGAAAAAACTTGGTGTTCAGGAGACACAAAAGTTAGTAGATCAATCAAAAGTTACTCCATACTGATTGTTGAGAGAAAAGTTAACTCAACTGTTTACAAAATACCTCCCAAAGACTGGCAGGAGCACATTAAAGACAATTCCACATAACTACTTGTTGCCATGGGAGAATTAGCTGGACAAGCGAATGAATTAGATGAACAAGTGAATATTGATGGATACTTAGCTCAGTGCAGCATAAGTAAAGGAAACTGCTTACCAGTTGTTGTGCCTTTTCTTGTCTTTATCTGGAACAAGGAATAGTCTGATGTGTTTGTGCAATTGTGGTGTTTCTGTTGTTGTTGTCTGTCCTTTGTTTTTGAGGAGCACCAATGACATCACAGGGTGATGTCTTGACCCCATTGTGAATTGGATTAAAGTGAGGCAGGGTTGCACAAAATCATCAGCCTGACTCTTACTTCCTGAGTCATCAAAGGCCAGTGGCAGGACAAAAGTCAAGACGACTGGCCATGACCCAGGATGCAATGGATGCCTTTGGAGTCTTCAATGCCTGACCAAGCTCTAAGCTTCAGACATGTTCATGGCCAGTGAAACAAATTGTTCTCATCTGCCCATTCCTCCAGAGAAAGTTTTCACACGCTTGGGGTAGACCCCTTCCCCCCAACTCACTTATGGGTTTGAGACTCCGCAGTTACCCTCAACTTGGTTTAGCCAAAATGGTTTACCAGGGCAAGGCCACAATACGTGTTACAGCTTCTTGGAGCCACGGATAAGAGTTGAGTGCCAGGTGGACACCAAAGGTGTACGAGCAGCCCTGAAAAGGGCTGGGCAAGCCCTCACACCAGAGATGGTGGTTCTCCATGAACACCCCATATATCCTTCTTAATAATCTAAAGCAAATAATCTAAAGGGAAAAGGACATGTAGTTTGTCTACCAATTGTACAAATACTGCCTGAATCAGACAATGGTTCAGAAACAGGTATTTCAAGTTAAAAAGGCTCTGCACGCTCTAACCCAAGAGCTAGTTCAGATAAGGAGAGAAGACTGAACCTATGCTGCCTAGAACTTCAGACATAGAAACTCCTAAGACATAGATACACCCATGGAGGTAACACTGATAAGCAAACCTGAGCCCTTCACTAGATCAAGTTTAGCATGGGGAAGACTGGTAGGAATCAGTCGAAAGGTGAAATAAGCAGAAAGAAGAAAGTCATTTATCCTTTAACATTACAAAAAATAAACAACTTTGAAAGACTTAAGAACTTTGATTAACACAATGGTCAATCAAGATTGCAGAGGACCAAAAATAAATATTGCTACCCATCTCCTGACAGGGGAGTGATGGTTTAAAAAAATAGAATGAGACACATTTTGGGGCAGGACCAATATATAACATATTTGTTATAAGGGTTTTGTTTTTCTTTTTTCTGGTGGAGGCAAGGTGAAAGGGAGAAAAGAATAAATGCTTGTTAATTAAAAAAAAAAGAAAATCGATTTTTTTTTTTACAAAATTTGGGTTTCTATATACAGAACTATAGTTCTGATAAGGATGATATACAGCTCATACCATCAGCTAGTTCAGGTATAGGGACAGACAGACCAGCAGATCATGAGACAGCTCGGTCTATTTGATGTGAGACCACTAATTTAGCATGTTATAGGGGTAATTGGAGGGGTCCTTATACACATAGCCAGACGATAACACATTTGACCAAGTAATTTGGGCCTTGTACATAAATGCAAATTTTCATTAATGAACATGCTAATTATTGCATGCTTTGTATACACTTGTTTTCATTAATTTTTTGTTCGTGTTTACCTGCTTCTGTGCTAATATCATGCATGTGTTGCAGATACATTTGTCTGTTAACTATGCATAGTTTTGCTGTTTGTGTATATGCTGATGTTTATTCATGCTTTGTTGTTATGGGAGTCCCCTTATGTTGTTATTGCTTTACTGTTATGCTTATTGGCTTGGATTCTCTGTATATACCTGTATTGCTCTGATATGTGCGTGTAATATGTACTGCATATAATTTAAGTCTGTAGTCACTGAAGCAGCATGCCAAATGATGCTTCACATTGTGTATACTGCTAATGTATATTTGCTGTGAATGGCACTCCAAGATGATTACCTGGGATTTCGAGTTAATCATCCATGTTCTAAGTACTGGTGTTTATTTTAACACTGGTGAGATATATTTGTAGAAATACATATATACATCTACATATACATATATGTATGTATGTATGTATGTATGTATTTAGTAGCTGATTTTTTTTAAGAGACTGTAAAACTTCTGACCCTCGACAGGAATATAGCCCTGTCTTGGCCATTCCTCCTGCAAACTACCCCAAGGAGAACAGGACACTAGAGATAGATACCTACTCGTTCAGGCAGGAATTTCCCAGCATCCTTCTCCTTGGCTCCCCTCACTCCCAAGGAGTTTTTCCCCTGTTCTTGGACTTGGCAAAAGGGCTAACTTTGACACTGAGGCTCCCACCTCTGGACTTATGGGAAAAGGAGAAGCTAGCTAAGATAAAAACAGTGGAAAGACTCTGCCATCAGAGGTGGGCTCTGCGACTCCGAAAACAAACACAAATATGTGAACAAGATAAGGGAGTACCTCAGGCGATGTCCCCCCCCCAAAGTATCTTGTTTGTCCCGGCTTTCCGGCTCTCCCCTCCTTTTATCTTACTTTCCTGCTGAACCAACAGTTCCTTGTTTCCCGCCTTTTTGCAAACCTTGTTGCTCGGGAAAAGTTTCCGCTTAGACTGTGAGCTCTGAAGCCCAGCCAATAGGAAGAGGAGCTGGTGGGAGGATGGGGGTTCCGAGTTAGGGTCTACATAAACTGGCTTCGAGCTGCACTCCCTTGCAAACACTGGCTAGAGCCATCTTGAGCGAAGCTGGGTGTGTCCTTTCTCATGAGAAAGCAGTAAAACTCCTTTTTGCCTTTCTTAAGAAAAAGTCTCTGATTTGATTATTTTGGGGGTCATAAACACCCCACACAGCAGGTTTCAATGGCCATCAATAACCAACTGTCTTTCCACTATGTCTGAATGCATCTTTCATTTATTCCTATATGTATTATATTTATATTCTTGTATTTCATTTATATTTACATTTGCCCTTGTTTCCCCTTTAGAATGTAAAGTCTTTGCAATAAGGATTTTCACTTATTGCATTTATATCCACAGCGCCTAGCAGCGCCTGGCACATAGTAGGCACTTAATAAATGCTTATTGATTGATAAAGAGGGTTGCCTCGAAGCCCTGAAAAATTAAGTAACTTGTGCGGCAGAAAACAAAATAAAAACAGTAATTTCAGGAGTGGAGGAAGGGCTCCTGTAGCTGCTGGAGATTAGGGAAGGCCTCCCGCCGAGGAGCTAAGCCTGGAAGGGAGCGAGGGACTCCAGGAGGCAGAGGAGAGAAGAGGCACGCGGAGCCAGCCGCGCCGCCGGCACGGGTCCTGGGCGGGTGCTCCACGGGGAGCCTCGTAGCTGGGCCGGGGAAGGGGCGGGCTTTGGATGGGGTCGGGGGGCTGGGAGGCGGGAGGCGTGGAGAGCATCGCGGGCGGGGCCGGGGGCGGGGCACGTCCCGGAAAAGGGCTGCGTCCCCGCCCCGGCATCCACCCCTGACCAAGCCGCCCTTCTTAAGCCTTCCTCCGAGCGCGGAGAGGTGAGACTAACTGCGCGACTCATGAAGGTGTTTGTCACCCGGACGATCCCCCCCGAGGGGCAGGCCCTGCTGGCCCAGACCGGAATGTAAGAGGGGCGCCCCCAATCCCGACCCCTTGCCCGCGCGGGACTCTGGCGTCCCCGGAGCCCGTGCGCCCGGGAACATTCCTGGCAGCTGCTGGCGCGCGCCGGCCGTGCGCCTGCCGACCTCGGGCCCCACGCGCGAGCCTCGGGTCCCCGGAGCCCGCGCGCCCGTGAACGTTCTTTACACCGCCACCCTTGGCCCCAGCCCACGCGTGTGCCTAGGCTATGAACCCGGGACCCCTTCCCCTTCCGAGCGCCTGAGCCCCCACTCCACGAGCGTGCTTAATTCATGCACCCCTCGGGCTGTCCTCATCTTGCCCGTCCCCCGCCCCCCGGCCGGGCCTTCCCCCCCCCCCCCCCCCCCCCGGCTTTCCCTGCCCCTCCCTTATCTGAGAGCTCAGTTGATCAACCCAAGGTCAAAGTCCTGGGAGTGTCAGCCTTGGTGCTGGTTTCTCTGCTTAAAGGGGCCGGGCACCCGGAAGGGAAGGAGAGAAGGTGCAGGGGCCCAAGCTTCCCTGCTTGGACTTTGAGATAAGAACTGTCCAGGGTTTGGGGGAGGAGAAGAGGAAGAAAGCTTAGGAAAACTAAGCAAGCCGCGGGCACAGGAGGTGGAGGAGGGAAAAGGAGGATCCCTGCTGTGAGGCAGGAGTTGGCCACCCTGTTCCTGCTGCCACGCTTGTCTCCGGAACCGTTTCTTTTTTACCCTCGGGCCCCCTGTGGCTTTGCCTGCAGAGCCTTTGATTACCAGTGCCAACAACCAGTGTGGATTTGTTATGTCTTCTCTTGGAGCTTCTGATGTTTTCAGTAGGCTTCATGCACCAAGCCCGAAGCCTCGAGCTTCCATGCCTCTGCTGGCTGTAAGTGGCCCCTAGCCAGGCCGCGGCAGCACGGGGTTTATTAGGAAATACTGCACACGGCCATTCCAAGCCAGAGATCGCAAGTCCACCCGACAGTCACGGGACCTTAGAGCTCTTCTGCCCAACCCTTTTGTTTTACAGATGAGGAAAACAGGAACCGCTAGGAGGTCAAATGACCTGCCGATGGTGGCAGGGCTACTACGTTCTTGGGTTTTCTAGTGTGATCTTGGACCGCAGTTTCCTTATCTGTAAAAATGGAGGAATTGAACTCCATGGCCATTGGGGGTTCTCTCAGCTCTAGATCCACGGCCCTAAGATTTATAGTGTCATCCTAAGACCTACAAATCTAAAGGTTAGGTAGGTTATTTTACTGTTCCCATGTGGTAAGTGCACAAGACAGGGTGGCTCTGGGACTCGGGATTTCTGCTAAGTACCCTTTTAACCCGTTTACCCAGTCTAGGCTTATGATTTCCTGTTCTTTTGGTGCATTTTGAAAATTTTCAAAAAAAATTTTTTTTAGTTGTAAATTTTTCTGGTTCTTGAAAAGGACTGTGAAAGGAGAAGTGTGCATAGGTTTCTCTTCAACCAGGATAATTTTGTTGAGGTTCTTTACAAAACAGATGTTTGTGGATTTTCTGCTTGGTTTTGGTGCCAACCCTGTAACAGCACCTAGCTCCCAAGATTGTTGTGAGGATCAGAAGGGCTACAGTTAGGGCTTTGCAAACCTTTTGTTGTTATGATTATTATCATAGCTTCTTCCACGGAGCCATTGATCATCAGCTCCATCTGCTTCTCCTCTTATCTTCCCCCTCTGCCCTCCCACCCTGGATTGGGAGCCCAGGGTACATAAGTGACTGGCCCACCCTCTCTTTTCTGGTAAGTCATGTTGGGTAGTAAGCCTTTTTGATCTTCTGTTTTATGTGGGTTTTCATACATCCAAGATACCAGATTAACATTTTAAGTCATAGACTACTACATCCTAATATCACCTTAATGTTGTTTGTTTTTGTTGAGTCGTTTCAGTTGAGCCTGACTCTTCATGAGAACAGTTGGTTTACTCGGCAAAGATACTGAGATGGTTTGCCATGTCTTTCTCCAGTTCATTTTACAGATGAGGAAACTGAGGCAAAGAGGGTTAAGTAACTTGCCCAGGGTAACACAGCTAGTAAGTGTCTGAGACCAGATTTCAATTCAGGTCCTCCTGACTCCAGGCCTGGCACTTGCACTTTATCCACTGCACCACTCAGCTGCCCAATGTCACCTTCACAAAAGGCAAAAAGTATATTTGATTTTATTCTTTTGAGATTACCCTCCCCTCATGTCCTACTCTGCAATCAATGACACAAGATGAAATTTGTTAATACTTAACTTATGAAGGTCAAAAAAAAAAAGCAAGGGAAGCAAGACAAATAAGTGGTCAGTCCAGCCAACTTGGTTTTTCATGATCGTCCTTCTGAAAAGTTAAGACCTAGTTTGCACAGGTCTGCTCCTCATACCTTGTTAAAATGTTGTAATAATAATTTTTATGTGAAGATAATACCTCACTACTTACCTCATAAGGTTATGAAGAAGCCTCAGTTTGTTATTGGCCTCAATACAGGCTGTACCCAGCTCCCAAAGGAAAAGAAAAGAACATTACCAGTGAAAATAATGAAGACAGAGAGCAGTGATGATAAAAATGAATGAAACATTGAACTAAATAAATTTTAAATGTTTATAGTAAATACATTTTCATATAATTTTATGTACATCACATGAGATAATATTTGTAAAGTGCTTGGTTCAGAATCTGGCACACAGTAGGCCTTTAATAAATGCTTATTCCCTTCCCCCTTCCCACTCCCTTACCCCTACTCCTTACTCTCGGAAGCAGTGACTAAGTGCTAGACTTGCAGTCATTAAAAATCTGGCTTCAAAGATTCAGACTTTGACACCAAAAAGGGAAAACTTCCCTGAATTTCAGAAAGCTTTAAGCCTAGTCTAGTAATTATATAAATGGGTTAAGATTTGCTTTGGATGGCTAGGATATCACAGGTCCTTTGACATGTTTGTGTAATTATTTTTTGAGGAATATCTATTTTTTATTTTCAATGAGATCTCAGTTTAATGGCCTGATATATTCAGACCAATAATGAGAAATAACCGGTAAGAAATTTTGGTGCTTTTTGTAAGAAGCACGTTGGAGGTACTAGACAACAGCAACAACAACAACAAAAGCTCATCTAAAGGACAAAATAAAAGGTATTTGGGTTTTCTGGTTTAATACCATGGAAATCCATATAATGAAGGTGAATTTCTACCGCTCCAAAGCACCAAATGCCGGTGAATTGCATTTGCCACAACTGACGTTACGCAACAAGAATGATGTCAAAGGACTGGGTTTAAAATAAAAAATATTAATTTACGTTTATAAAGCACTCCATAGCTTACAGAGTATGAACCATCTGGCCAGGCCACAGACATTGCTTCAGATCATTCTCATGCTCTGCATCCCACCATCTCCTTGCTCCATTCTCTGGTGCTCTCCCATCTAGGACATCCGGAAACCAGACCCCAGGGGACTTTGAACTCCCACCTCCAGGCTGTTCTCTTGAGCCTAGCTGGCAGCAGACTCCAGACCCTCTACATCCTGTTCTCACTACCACCCTAACCCTCTGCTTTCTACTCCTGGCTGTCAGAACTGTAACCAGATCAACATTAGCATTGCTTCTCTGGAAAGGGAGTATCGATTGACTTCCCTGTTATCTTAGACACCCACCATTCCTGTGACTTTGGAAACCAAAACCTCCTTCCCTGGCTAGGAAAGGCTAGCACTCTTCCATGGATTTGTGGTCTTACTAGAATGTAAGTTCCTTGAGGGCAGGGAGTTAGCAGACCCCTGGACACACAATAAGCACCCAATATGTGTTTTTCGTCTGTTCATTCATTATTTTTCTTTTTTTTGGTGAGGCGATTGGGGTTAAGTGACTTGCCCAGAGTCACACAGCTAGTGTTATGTGTCTGAGTCCAGATTTGAACTCAGATCCTCCTGACTCCAAGGCTGGTGCTCTATCCACTGCGCCACCTAGCTGCCCCTGTTCATTCATTGTTAAAAGGAGTATCTGACTTGAGAGGGGTCCACATTAGACTTTAGGTTTTTAGCAATAGTTGGCATGCTTATGGAAATTTAAATCCTCTCCTGCCCAAAATGCTGGTAAGCTGATAAGTGAGAGCTCTATGCCTAACTCCTTCTAGGCTTGGGTGGCCCGATTACCATGGGCCTTTACATCCCTGAAAAGACCAAGGAATCATTTTGAGTGTTGCAGAAAGTCTCCTGTGCTGTGCCAAGATATCCACGGGGATTTTTCCTCTTCAGCTGCCCCAGAAGGAAAGTGAGAATCTTGGGGAACCTTAGACATCATCCAGTCGGGACAGAGTCACTTGCTCAAGATCACCTAATTTGTTAGGCCTAGAATATAAATCTCCTGATTCTCATCTCTCTCAGAAACTGAAACTAGAATCTGGACTGAGAGATTGCCCTCCTTCAGATTTTCCTCAGTTTTTCCAAAATGTTCCAGTCTCTGGCCTTCAAAAGTCCAGATCCCGGCAAATTAAAGAGGTAGTGTTGCAGAGTGGATAGAGCATCTGACTTGGAGTGAGGAAAACCTGACTTCAAATCCTGCCTTAGACACTAGATGAATAAACCTGGCCAAGTCACTTAATCTTTGTACCTCAGTTTCCTCATCTGTAAAACGAGGGGGATGAACTTGATCTCTAAGATTCCCTTCTTATGATTTACATATAATATAAATTGTATGTATATAAGTTATATACAATATATAAATATATAATAATAATTACCTTGATATCACCTTCACAGATTCCTACTCCTTATTCAGCTAAAGTCCCCTCTTCTCCTGAGCCTTCCACAATTGTCTGTCCCGCCTATACCCAGAAGCCTGATGTAGGATTCTTTCCTGGTGTAGATAGGAGTTGAAAACAGGGAAGTTTTGGTCTTCTGGAAACCAGTAGCAGGCAGAAGACATGACTTTCTGCTCTGCCTCGCCTCAGACATTGGAGATAAGTACCAGTCAGTGACCAGGTATGTGTGGCTTCCCAACCTGGGTGCACGGTCCTCCTGCCCAGACAAGTGACCTGACCCTAGAACTGCACCCTAGTCCTAATAACCTTTAAGTGGCCTTCATTTAATAATGCAGAGGGTGTCATTCACATGACTCTGAGAGGTCGGTGCTGTTATTTCCCCATTTTACAGATGAGGATTTGAACTGAGATCTTCCTAACTCCAGGCTGGGTACTCTATCCACTGAGACATCTTAGACTATATTTAAGTCCCTTCTGGCACAGGTAGATGGTGCAGTAGATAGAGTACCTGGAGTCTGGATTTGAGCTCAGGTCTTCCTAACCCAGGCTGGGAACAGTATCCACTGAGACTCCTTAGGCTACGTCTAAGTCCTTTCGTGGTACAGTGGATAGAGTACCGAGTCTGGAGTCAGGAAGATCTGAGTTCAAATCCAGCCTCAGACACTTACTAGCTGTGTGACCCTGGGCAAGTCTCTTAACCCCTATTTGCCTCAGTTCCTCATCTGTAAAATGGGAACATACTAGAGAAGAAAATAGCAAACCACTCCTGTGTCTTTGCCAAGAAAACCCCACGGACATGGCTACATAGAGTCGGACAATAGCAGAACAACAGCAACGCCCCTTAAATCCAAGTCACTTGATGGCTCTGAGGTTCAGTTTCCTCATCTGTAAAATGGGAACACTAACAGCACCTCCGTCACAGAGTTAGGAGAATGGAGAGAGAGCCTGCCAGATGCTTTGCAAGCCTCAGCAGTGTGAGCTGTAGTTATCAGTGACAACCATGGCTGTGCTTGGGTGTTTTCTGAAGCCCGTACAGCCGTGTAGGATACGCATTAACTCTGCTTTCTTCTTTCAGTTTCAAACTAGAACAATGGGATTCAGATGAGCCCATATCGAGAGAGGACCTGCTGAAAGGAGTGGCAGGAGCCCATGGCATTCTCTGCCTTTTGAGTGACAAAATAGATAAAGAAGTCCTGGATGCCGCAGGTGTGTATTGGGGCCCCAGATGAAGATTTCATAACTGCAGCCTAAGGATCCGGGGTGTCTCTGGTGGAATCTCAATCATATTTTGGGATTGGTGCCTGCTCCTAAGCCTTTATTTATTATATATATATTACATATTACATTATTATATATTATATATATAAAATCAGTTAAATCCAACTTACTCCATGCCTACTTTCTGCTAGCTTGGGCACTGGAGATAACCATCCCTTTCCTTAAGACCTGTACGTAAATATCCCCTCACTACAAGGGAGGGTCTGAGAACTGCAAAGAAGGTGGCCAGCTCATGATGGAAAATGCTGTCCACATCCAAAGAACCATGGATTTTGAATGCACATCGAAGCATACTATTTGCTATTTTTTTTCTTCTGTTGTGTTTTGTTTCCTCTTTCTGGTGGTTCCTTCTATTGGTTCTGATTCTTCTTTACAACATGACTAATGTGAAAATAGGCTCTAGCCTATATCAGATTGCACACTGTCATGGAGAGGGAGGTAGGGAGGGAGGGGGAGAAAATTGAAAACTCAAAAGTTTATGGAAATGATTGTTGATAAATCTCAATAAATACATACACAAATAAATAAATAAATAAATAAATAAATAAATAAATAAATAAATAAGGTGGCCAGGCAGTGGGCTCCCATACCATGCACTTGGGGAGAAAGAAAGCGCTTTCAGCTGATGGAATGGGACCTCAAGGAGGTAGCGCCTGAAATGGACCCGCAAAGAGGAGAAGAAGGAAGGAAGGAATGAGAGAAAGAAGAACGAAGAGAGGGGAGGAGGAGGGAGTAACATCAACAGTAGAGATAAGGGGAGGAGGAAGAGTCCGTGCCATGTATAAGAATGCATGATCAAAAGCACAAAGATGGGTTTTTGCTGCAAGGTGGAAAACAGTCTGATTTGACCTTGGGTTAGTAGGCATCTGCAGCCTTGTTTTTTTAAAGGGCACTCATTAATAAAGGGAATGTAAACTGCTGCTTTGTAAACTGGAGCAAGTCACCTATAACATCGCCATTTCTATAAAATGAGAACTAGGTGAAATCAGGAATTCTTAACCTTTTTTGTGTCATGCACCCCTTTGGCAGTCTGGAGAAGCCTATGGACCCCCTCTCAGAATGTTTTTAGATGCATAAAATAAAATACACTTATTTTGAAATGAACATTAAAAAAAAAACCTGCTTACTATAGAGTTTAAGTTAGGTTTGAGTTGTGGCTCTAGCTATGTAACATAGACCACAGTCTGCACCTTTGTTTCTTGATCTGTAAAATGGGTATAATTTATGCCACCTCATTTGCAGGGTTGTTGTAAGGAAAGTACTTTATAAATTATATAATCTTACATTGAAATAAAGATGTAATTTTCCCCATCCAAGTTCACAGACCCCCAATATGTGTGTCTGTATATATGTAGATATATATATGTATATACATGTATGTGTATTTTTTTATATATATATGGATATGGATGTATATAGACCTTAGATTAAGAAATCCTGGGTTAAATGACCCCTAATGTCCTTTCCAGCTCTAAATCCTGCAATCCTAAGCCTAGTCTTTGTATGCACTCTGCACAATGTAGGCCTTTAATAAATGTTGGTTGTGTGTAGCTGAATGCCAGTAGAAGGCCTTTTGGCAGAAAAAAAACTGAATCGTGCCCAAAACAGCAAGAACAAAAGCCACATTTCCTGCAAGCCACATTAGATTATATAGCACTATCTTCTGTGGGAACTATCAGAATTAATGCATAAGACATCTTAAATTCTATAAAGCAAAAACTAATTTTTGGTTTCTTTCTACTTATCAGGATCCAATCTCAAAGTAATCAGCACCCTCTCCGTGGGAGTTGACCATCTTGCCGTAGATGAAATTAAAAAGCGGTAAATGCAGCCTTTTGGTTTTTGCTAAGGAGCATTAGGGACTGAAGGAATTACTGGAGGGGAAAGAAGAGGATTCTTAATAATTCAGGCAAAAAGACTGACTTGGAAAGCGGAAGGATTTAGAAGAATTCTTGAAAAGAAAAGTAAAGGAATACTCTCTGTGGCAGTTATGGAAACTTTGCTTCTTGCATTCCTAGAGGGATCCGCCTGGGCTACACGCCAGACGTCCTGACAGATGCCACGGCGGAGCTCGCTGTGGCCTTACTCCTTACCACCAGCCGCCGCCTGCCAGAAGGCATTCAGGAAGCAAAGAAGTGAGTATGGGTACGTTGGGAAGATTCAGAGCGTTCTATCATTTGTCCAGTTAATTCTACATTCTACATGGGCTAAGGCAGGGGTGGGGAACATGTGGCTTTTTTGAGTGAATCCAAATTTTACAGAACAAATTATTTGTTCTGTAAAATTTAGATTCAGTCAAAAGGCCACACTTAAGGATTTAGAAGGCCTCATGTGGCCTTAAGGCCACAGGTTCCCCACCCCTGGACTAAAGTAATGCCATCCCCAAGCTACCTGACATTTTTATCTTTTCTCTTTCTGTCTGTCTGTCTGTCTGTCTGTCTGTCTCTCTCTCTCTCTCTCTCACTATGAGGCATATTTTATTGTAGTGTAATTTTTTTTAATTGACTAACGCATGTATGGTAACTTTTTATTAACCAGAATCTATTCATTAATCCTAGCCATAGCACTCTATACCTTTGATAGTGTCAGGTCACAGAGAGTAAAACTTCCTAAGGAGACTTTTGTTTTAGCTGGTTGTTAACATGTTTGATGGAATTACTGAGTAAGTGGATTTTAAACTTATCTTTTTTGAGGTCGATAAATTGAGACTTGCACAGATCATCCTCCAAAGATGAGATTTACATTTACACTTCATGAATACTGATGTACAGCTCTTTTGCCATTGGGGGAAGAAAAAACACAAACCCAGGAAAGACATCATAGAAATTTCTAACTCACCGTGATTCTGAGTGTATCAAGTGAAAAATGTGTTTGGAACTTGAAAGTGTAGATAGCATCTAATGATTTAGCATGATTGTTGTTGTTTGGTCATTTTCAGTCGTGTCTGACTCTTCGTGATCCCATTTGGGGTTTTCTTGGCAAAGATGCTGGAGTGGTTTGCCATTTCCTTCTCTAGCTCATTTTACAGATGAGGAAACTGAGGCAAACAGGGTGAAGTGACTTGCCAAGGGTCACACAGCTAGAAGTATCTGAGGCAGGATTTGAACTGAGGACCTCCTGACTCCGTGCTATCTACTGTGCCACCTAGCTGACCCTTAGGCATGATTAAGGGCTTCCATTTTCTACATATCCAGTGCTTCAATATGAGTCTCTTCTACCTTGTTTCTAGGGATTTTCTGTTTCAAAATATTAAAGCCCTTGGTTTAATTTAGGTTGTCTTGGTTTCAGAGACTAAGTTTGGTGAGATAGAAAGCACTGGCCTTCAATCAGTAGACTTGGTTTTGGGTCCCAGGTCATTATCTTTGTAACCCCGAGCAAGTCACCACACTACTCCAAACCTCAGTATCCTTATCCAAAAAATGGGGACATAATACTTAGAGTATCTACCTCACGAGGAGCAAGTGCTTTATAAACCTTAAAAGTATTATTTAAACAAAAGCTATTATTACTTTTTCACCCTTCATTTATGGCCACCTTCTTTATCCCTTCCCACACTGCCACTTAGGAGAATGTCAGTGTGATTTACCAGAAGCAAGAACTGCCTCTCCCTTTAGTTCATCTTGACAAACATTTATTAAGCTCATACTCTCTCTCTCTTTCTCTCTCTTTTGTGGTGAGGCATTCGGGGTTAAGTGACTTGCCCAGGGTCATACAGCTAGTAAGTGTCTGAGGCCAGATTTGAACTCAGGAAGATGAGCCTTCCTGACTCCAGGCCACCATCCACTGAGGCACCCAGCTCTCCATAATAGGTTTGTAATGCTAAGTATTTTAAAATTTTCTAAGTTTTGATGTCTAAAATGGTAAATATCAATAGATATAACCAACATAAACAAAACCTTTTTGGGACCCTCAATAATTTTTCACAGTGAAAGTAGGTCCTGAAACCAGAAAGTTTCATGACCACTCATATAGGACAATTACTGACAGCCTAAACGCAAAGCCTTTTTGAGAGGTTGTGTGTGTCTCCATCACACTTACTACATTTTTCTCTTCAGAATCTAGAATCAGGAAGACTCATCTTCCTGAGTTCAATCTGGCCTCTGACACTTACTAGCTGTGTGACCCTGAACAAGTCACTTAACCCTGTTTGTCTCAGTTTCCTCAATTGTAAAATGAGCTAGGAAGGAGATGGCCCACTCTAGTGTCTTTGCCAAGAAAACCCCAAATGAAAACTGGAAAAGACTATGGCAGAAACTAGGCATAGACCAACACCTCAGACCAAAATAAAGTCAAAATGGGTACACAATTTGGATATAAAGGCAGATACTATAAGCCAATTGGGAGAGCAAGGAATAGGTTACCTGTCAGATTTATGGAAAACAGAAGAATTTATGACCAAACAAGAGATAGACCCCATTATGAAATGCAAAATGGATAATTTTGATTACATTAAATTCAAAAGTTTTTGCACAAAGTCAATGCAACCAAGATTAGGAGGGAAGCAGAAAACTGGGAAAGAATTTTTACAACCAGTGTCTCTGATAAGGGCCTCATTTCTAAAATATATAGAGAACTACGTCAAATTTATAAGAATACAAGTCATTCCCCAATTGACAAATGGTCAAAGGATATGAACAGGCAGTTTTCAGATAAAGAAATTAAAGCTATCCATTGTCAGATGAAAAAATGTTGTAAATCACTTGATTAGAGAAATGCAAATCAAAAGAACTCTGAGGTACTACATCACACCTTTCAGATTGGCTAACATGACAAAACAGGAATAAATGGTGGAGAAGATGTGGGAAAATTGGAAGACTAATGCATTGCTGGTGGAGTTGTGAAACGATACAACCGTTATGGAGAACAATTTGGAACTATGCCCAAAAGGTTATAAAAATGTGCATACCCTTTGATCCAGCAATACCAGTTCTAGGTATCCCAAAGAGATCATAAAAATGGAAAAAGGACGCACATGTACAAAAGTATTTATAGCAGCTCTTTCTGTGATGGCAAAGAATTGGAAATTGAGAGGATGCCCACCAATTGGGGAATGGCTGAACAAGTTGTGGCATATGAATGTAATGGAATATTATTGTGCTATAAGAAATAATGAGCAGGTGGACTTCAGAAAAACCTGGGAAGACTTGTATGCACTGATGCTGAGTGAAGTGAGCAGAACCAGGAGAATGTTGTACACAATAACAGCCACATTGTACAATGACTAATATTGGTAGACTTAACCCTTCTCAACAATGCAAGGATCTAAGACATCTCCAAAGGTCTCACGATGGAAAATGCTATCCACATCCAGAGAAAGAATGATGGAATGATGCAGATCGAAGCATATTTGCTATTTTTTTCTTCTGTTTTGTTTTGTTTCCTCTTTCTGGTGGTTCCTTCTGTTGGTTCTAATTCTTCCTTACAACATGACTAATGTGAAAATATGTTTAACTAGAATGTATGTATATAGCCTATATCAGATTGCGTGTCGTCTTGGGGAGTGAGGTGGGGAGGGAGGGGGAGAAAATTTAAAAGCTAAAAACTTATGGAGTGATTGTTGAAAACTAAAAATAAATTATTAAAAAAAGTTTGAACTTAGAAAAAGAAAAAGAAAACCTCAAATGGGGTCATGAAGAATTGGACATAACTAAAAAAAAATGACTGAACAACATACTTCAGGTATAATATTGAACTCCTGCCATAATATTTCAGTCTTTTCTTTTTATTCCAGTGGTGGTTGGATTTCATGGAAGCCTCTCTGGATGTGTGGCTACCAGCTCTTGAACAGCACAGTTGGAATTATCGGCCTGGGAAGAATAGGTAACATCTCTTTTCTGCATTTTATAACATTGGTTGGAATTGAAGACATATATATAGTAAGCTACCGTCTGAAACAGTGCTGAGTGATCCTTTTGTTGTCGTTCACTTGTTTTAGTCATGTCCGACTCTTCGTGACGTCATTTGGGGTTTTCTTGACAAAGATACTAGAAACAGATTCCTTCCCCAGCTCATTTTACAGATGAGGAAACTGAGGCAAAGAAGGTGAAGTGACTTGCCCAGGGTCACACAGCTAGTAAGCGTCTGAGACCAGATTTGAACTCAGCAAGATGAGTCTTCCTGACTCCAGGCCTGACACTCTATCCACTGAGCCACCTAGCTGTCCCCAAGGAGGAATGAGTAAATAGGTAGAAATCAGTAAAGTAAACCTTTATCTGATGATGAAAATATAGAACTTAGAACAGGAGCAGCCCGTTTCACCCAAGCGACTAAAATGTAATCCTTTGCATGATCTTGTTTCTGATTTTAAAAAAATCAAACAGACAAACAAAAAATCCTAAGGGCTTAAAAAAAATACAACCCAAAGCATCCAAAGAAGTATTTAGTCCTAGTGAAGAAAAGCAAAGGATTCTATCCTGGCCTGGAGCTTAAATTCAGCACCGAAGCCTCGCATCTCCCTCTTTGATATGTTGAAAACAAACAAACACAAGCTTTGGGTCCAGACTGTGGCTCCCATATTTACAAACTCTGTGATCAGCTTTTTTTTTTTTTGTCTGTAAAATGGGGAAAACAAACAGCACGGGATTTTTATGACCTGGATTTGAATCCCAGATCTGTGGTTTATGACCTATGTGCCATCAGGGGAATCACCTTCTCTCCTTGCCCCCGGTCTGCCGGGGCGCGGGCACGCACACCCCCCCCCCCCCCCCCACCCCACCCCCGGCCTTACTTTACTCATCTGTAAAGAGGCAGCCATGCTAGACTTTTCAGGTCTGGAGGGAGGAGGGTTAGGGGCACAGCATCCCCTGGGAAATCTGGGTAAAATTTTTTTGCCTTCCCTTCATACCAGAGAAGAAGTTTGAATTATTGTTATGGTATTAAAAGATAAAATATGTTGATATTATACAATCCTATACATATATTTTATGCATTTCTGAGTTTCTAAACTTTTTCCATGTCATTTGCTGACCGTGTTGTCTGTGGCTTCTGCAAAACTCCCCCAAATTCCCATTTAATTTCTTACGCTGATCCACAACATACCAAAACTGCGATGAGGAAGGTCATGTTGTGGCAGGGATAACTGTACTCCTCTTGCACCTGTTTGGACATTCTCCTTTCCAGATGTTTTTCTCTCTCTCAAGTACAGCTGATTCTATTATCCAAAGGGAGTGAGAGCTTGCTTTGGTGGGAAAAACAAATGACCAACACTGACCAGGAGAGCATTTCTCGGACTCCGCCATCCACCCACATCTTTTCTCTCATTAATGAAGAGCTAAATGATGATGAGTCTTCCTAATGTTCCCTCTTCTCCCATGGTCAAGGAAGCAAACACGCTGACCCCAAATGGTTCTGTTCCATCAGTTACAGGAGATAGCTGCTACCTTCGACCCCTCCCTCGCACCCCCAGGATGGGTGGGGTGAATGGGACACAATCACATGGATGCTGTTTTCTCATTTTCAGGCCAAGCTATTGCCCGTCGCCTCAAACCATTTGGCGTCCAGAAATTTTTATATACTGGACGTCGGCCCAGAGCCAAGGAGGCAGCTGAGTTCCAAGCAGTGTTTGGTAAGTTTGGCATTCATTTAAAAGGCAGTCCAGCATGATAAATCCTGCAAATGGCAACTACTCAGGTCAGCTTTTGTTCACCGTTTGCTCCAGGAGCCTTTTTTGGGGGGGGGGGGGATTTTTTTTTTTTTTGGTGAGGGCAATTGGAGTTAGGTGACTTGCCCAGAGTCACACAGCTAGTGAGTGTTACGTGTGTGAGGCTGGATTTGAACTCAGGTCCTTCTGACTCCAGGGCCGGTGCTCTATCCACTGCCCCACCTAGCTGCCCCTAGGAGCTTTTTTTTTTTAAATTCATTAATCTATTTTTAGTTTTCAACATTCACTTCCATAAGCTTTTGAGTTTTAAATTTTCTCCTCCCTCCCCAAGACTGCATGGAATCTGATAGAGGCTCTACATACACATTCCTATTACATTAGTCATGTTATAAAGAAGAATTAGAACCAATAGGAGGAACCATAAGAAAGAAGAAACAAAATAAAACAGAAGAAAAAAAAAGAGCAAAGAGTATGCTTCAATCTGCATTCCAACTCCATAGTTCTTTCTCTGGATGTGGAGAGCATTTTCCATCATGAGACTTTTGGAGATGTCTTAGATCCTTGTATTGCTGAGAAGGGCTAAGTCTATCAAAGTTAGTCATCCCACAATGTGGCTGTTACTGTGTACAATGTTCTCCCAGGAGCCTTTTTAAAAAAAACATGATAGGGCAGCTAGGTGGCGCAGTGGATAGAACTCCAGCCTTGGAATCAGGAGGACCTGAGTTCAAATCCAGCCTCAGACACTTGACACTTACCAGCTATGTGACCCTGGGCAAGTCACTTAACACCAATTGCCTCATGAAAACAAAACCAAAAAAACAAACAAACCCCATGATATAATAGAGAGAAATATGGCTATAGTGTATAGAAAGGTGGCCTTGGGGCCTGGAAACCTGGGTTCATGTCCTGATTCTGACATATCCAGACTGAGTATGACTGGACAAATCACTGAAACTCTTAGTGTCTCAAACAATTCTCTACAGCAGCAAAACAATTGCCAATCTTCATTGAAAGAGGATATTTGCTCGCCAATTAGTTACCAGTACCAATGAGATCACCAGTCTGGACTTGGAAAAAACCATTTACTGTAAAAAAGACTTTGGTTTGAGTCCTGGTTCTAGCTGTGTGACATGGGGCATAGTTTGAACCTTTGCTTCTTAATCTGTAAAATGGGGATACTGTTTGTAACCACCTACTTTGCAGGGTTGTTGTGAGGAAAGCACTTTATAAATCATTAATTGTGACCTATGATTGGGTATGAGTAACCTTAGTGGTGTCAAAAGCGTGATAAACCTTTATGTGCTGGTTTCTTTGTCCTTGACCTCCATTTTCTCATCACCTTGGACTTTTCCAACCAGAAGTGACAGAATCATCTAGTTTAATGCCCTCATTTCACAGGTGCAAAAATTGGATTATCCCTCTCCATCCTGTTTACTTCATCTGTAAACTAGCCAGTTTCTAAGGTACCTTCTCCCTCTAAGATTCAGTGTGCTAATATTTTATTTTTAGGCAATTGGGGTTAAGTGACTTGCCCAGGATTATACAGCTAGTAGGTGTCAAGTGTTTGGTCTGAGGTCAGATTTGAACTTAGGTCCTCCTGACTTCAGGGCTGGTGCTGTATCCACTGCGTCAGTGAACTAATAATTACAAAGTACAAATGGAAAAATCCAGACAGGTGAGGTGACCTTGGTTAAGATCACAGAGTTCTTTAACAACAAAGACAGTCAAGAAATATTCATTAAGCACCTACTATGTGCCAGGCACTATGCACTAGCTGCCAGTATGGCACTGTGTCAAACCAGATGAAAAAGCAGTGTGACGAAATGGAAATAACCCTAGATTTGGAGCTGGGAGACCTAGGCTAGACTCCCAGTTCTAATGTTTACTATTCATGGGACCATGATTAAATTGCACGGTCTCTCCTTTCTCCATTTCTGTAGAGGCTAGGCAGTTGGGTGGCACAGTAGATAGAGCACCAGCACCAATCGGGAGGACCTCAGTTCAAATCTAGCCACCGACCCGTACTAGTTGTGTGAATCTGGGCAAGTAACTTAATCGTTTTGCCTCAGTTTCCTCATCTGTAAAATGAGCTGAAGAAGGAAATGGCAAACTACTCTAGTATCTCTGCCAGGAAAACCTAAAAACAGGTCATGAAACAACAAACTGAGGCAGCTGGACTAGGTGTGGTCTGTAACCGGTTCTAGCTCTAATCTTGATTGATCTAGCTCTAATCTAGATGATTTTGATTGATAAGTAACAAAGGAAAGCAGGCCTTTTGCAGTGTGTTGCCCTTAAGATGTCATTCCTTACTTGGGAATTGACTATTTTTTGAAGTAAAATTTGAGAAGAAAGGCAGAACTCTTCTCTGCCCCCATCTCTGAAAGCTCAGAGTGCCCTTCTCCTTTCTTAATGTTATTTTAAAAATTCTTTTGTCACTTAGCTTGGGCTGGCCTTTTTTTTTTTTTTAACTTATTTTTGTCCTTAGGAAGAGATTTTAGGTTAGTTGGCTTTGAGGTTTGGTGTCTTCATGAGGGCATTTTTCCCCCATGCCTCGGCTATAGGGAATATTACAGCCTGTGTCTCAGCTCTTAATGGAGAAATGAAGAAAGATGCTGCCAGACATTATCAATTCTGAGAAATATTCTGTGAAGAATTCCCTTCTTAGCTGCCTTCTGGGGGTGGGGGTGGGGGGAGGGGGAATGCTGATGAATTCAGTTCAACAACCTGCCAGGTGTAAAGTACTGTGTTAAGTGCTGGGGTTATAAAGGTAAAAACAAAAAAAATTAAACAGTCCCTGCCCTCAAGGAGCTTACATTCTACTGAGGGGATACATGTCCACAAGTAAGTAACTAAGTATGGACAAAATTATACCACTAATTTCAAGTGGGAGAGGGAGCTAATTCAGTTAACTGAGATTGAGAAAGACCTAGAGTAGGAGGTAGCCCCTGAACTGCTTTGAAGGAAACCGGAAATCTAGTATCATCGTCATCATCATAAACTGTAATGATATATTAAAATAATATACTATTCTGTTGATTATAACTAATTATACTTTTTGTAATTTATAAATATGTTTAATTATTATGATATTATTTTGGGGGTGGGGAAAGGCAATTGGGAATAAGTGACTTCCCCAGGATCACACAGCTAGTAAGTGTCCAGTGTCTGAGACTGGTTTTGAATTCAGGCTCTCCAGACTCCAGGGTTGGTGCTGTATCCTCTGTGCCACCTAGCTGCCCCATGATATGTTATTAGCATAGCAAAGATTTATAATAGCATTTACTATGTGCCAAGCCCTATGCTTAAGCACTTTTAAATTATTATCTTATTTGATCCTCATAACAACTGTAGGAGGTAGGTGCTCTTATTATTCCTATTTTATGAATGAGGAAACTGAGACAGAGGTTAAGTGACTTGCCCAGGATGATACAGCAGACTAGTGTCTGAGACCAGATTTGTACCCAGGTCTTTCTGACTCCAGGCTGGTACTAAAATCTGAGGTCTTTGGATAATTTTAATCAAAAAGAATTATCTTGGACTGAATTTTCCTGATAGTATTTCAATTCTAGGTCATTCTATGCCCACAAAACCCAGGCCAGGGGTGGGGAAACTTCAGCTTTGAAGCCACATGTGGTCTTCTAGGTCCTTGGGTGTGGCCTTTTGACTAAGTCCAAGTTTTACAAAACAAATCTTTTTATTAAATATTAATAATTAATAATAAAAATAAATAGTAATTAATTTTATAAATATTTATATAAATAACTTATATAAAATATATTTTTATATAGAAATAATTTATATAAAATAAATATATTTATTTTATAAATAAATAATAATTTATTAATTATTATTATTTGTTCTGTGAAGTTTGGATTTAGTCAAAGGGCCCCACTTGAGGACCTAGAGGGCCATATGTGGCCTGGAGGCTGCAGGTTCCCCACCCCTGGTCTAGGCTCTTCCATGTTAAATGAAATTTTGATTAAATCAGTAGACTTTAGAGCAAGACAGAACCTTAGATATTTGGCCCAACTCCCTGCCGTTCATTTTTACACAGATGGAAACTGAGGTCCAGAGAGCATGAGTGATTTGCCTAAGGTCACACAAGGATAGCAAGTAGCAAAATTTGAACTCAGATCTTTTGTCTTTGAATGCTCTAGTGCTTTTTCTACTGTCACATGTTTAAGAAGTATATCTTTTAATTATTTCACATACTTTGGCTGTCTCAGCCTCTAAACACAAAAGCATTTTGAAATTCATATTGTTTCATAATGTCTCAAATTTTTTGTTTCTCCAACACATCCTTTACTTTTCAGTCTCCATGTCTAAATATCTTCCCTCTGTGTTTTGGCAAAATAAATTTCAGTTTCCTCTTCACAAGTTTTTATAAGCTGTATGAAATGAAAACATTTTGGCTAACATTTTATAACAATGTTACAAATATAAATGGATTTCTCACAGAAAGTAAACATTTTCACACTTGTCAGTCTTTTAAGGAAAGTGCTCTTCTGATAATTATCTGCCATCCTATTGTCTTTAAAAGATTTGAGACTTATTCTCCCAGCCTCCGTGCACACTACCAGGTTGGTTTCCCAGTGCATAGCTGGCTATATTTCCTCCTCTCCCCCCGAAGTCACTAAGTCATGTCAAAATTCTGACTTGCCTGTTGACCTGCTTTCAGTCTGATTTTTTTTTTTTTTAAAGGCACTCAGGATTAGGTATCTTGGTCAGGGTCACACAGCTACTAAGTATCTGAGGCCAAATTTGAACTCGGGTCCTTCTGACTCCAGGGCTGGTGCTGTATCCACTGTGCCACCTAGCTGCCCCTAGTCTGATTCTTTTAGTAGAGTTTCCCCCATCCTCACCCCCAGTGTCCTGGAAACTATACTAATTTTAATTTGCAAGGCTAATGTAATCATTTCTAAAAAGGGAAAACTAGGCCCTTCCAAGAAGCCTTTTGACAGGAGAGATAAGTGCATCAAAGCCTTGGTTCTCATTCTTTTGGGAGGATTTCACTCTTTTCCCTGTTCTGTTCTTATGCTACTGATCTCTTCCTCCCCCCATTCTTCCCTTAAGTTCCTCTTGAGCAGCTGGCAGCCCAGTCGGACTTTGTTGTGGTTTCTTGTGCTTTAACCCCCGAAACCCAGGAGCTCTGCAACAAGAATTTCTTCCAGAAAATGAAGAAAACGGCTGTGTTTGTCAACGTAAGCAGGTAAGTCTGGTGGCTTAAAAAAAAAAATAGATACTATGCTTTTCTGATTTTTGATTTCACATTTTCAGTGTTACTGAAACCTCTGTTTGGACACGTGTTTCTTTCTTTGAAGCAAGACAAAGAGAAAATCAGAAATAAAACAAAAACCATGATCTCTTTGATTCTGAAAAAAAAATATTAAATCTCAACTGGAATATTGTATTCCCTGGGAGGAGGAAGCCTTAATTGTAGGCTTTAAACATTTCCATAATCTAGCTGGTCTCAGCAGAAGTGAACAGGACATACCTCTGCAGAAAGCTTTGCTGATTATTTTGTAGCACAGAAAATAGGGTGGGTTTGAATCCCTCCTCAAACACATAGTAGCTGTGTGACCTTGGGCAAGTCACTAACCTCTTAGCCTGAGATTTATCATCTATAAAATTGAGATGATAACAGCCCCTAATTCACAGGGTTTCTGTGAGAATCAATAGAAACAATATATGTAAAATGCTTTCGCAAACCTTACAGTGTTAAACGAACATTAGTGATTATTCTTATTTCTAGGAGTGATGGGTGACAATTTCTGGCACTGCTTAGTGAAAGATAAACATGCTTTCTCCACCAGGGGGAGCCTTGCCTGTGTTATAGAAGGTCTTCGGCTACTTCTTATTAAATGGCCAGTCATTTAACAACTAAAATCTATCCCTTCTCTTATGCTTCCAGAAATCCTAGAGAGGTCAAGGGACCTACCAAGTTAGGTGCACAAGAGATGCTCCAAATCTCTTAACTGCAGAGTTCCTTACTCTGAAATTTTTTTTTGTTGTTCAGTTATTTCAGTCATGTCTAACTCTTCGTGACCCCATTTGGGATTTTTCTTGGCAAAGATATTGGAGTGGTTTGCCACTTCCTTCTCCAGCTCATTTTACAGATGAGGAAACTGAGGCAAACAGGGTTAAGTGACTTGCCCAGGGTCACACAGCTAGTATGAGTCTGAGACTGGATTTGAACTCAGGTCTTCCTGACTCCAGGGCCTCTGCACCACAGCAAGTAATTTATAAAGTTAGACAATTTAATGTTACACTTAGCCTGGAATCCTCACATGTATAGGGAATTGGGTTTGTTTTTTTGTTTTGGGGGGTGGAGCTTGTAGAGTTTGTTGTTTTTTGGGGTTGTTTGTTTTTTTTTAACAAAATCTAAAAGAGGCTGTTGCATTCTTTATTGGATGATATACCAAAGTACTGTTCTAATTCCTATGGTTCCCAGGGGAGATGTGGTGAACCAGGAGGACCTTTACCAGGCTTTGACTAATGGCCAGATTACAGCAGCTGGGCTAGATGTCACAAGCCCTGAACCACTGCCGACAAACCATCCTCTCTTTTCATTAAAGAATTGTGGTAAGACACTAGTTTTTAAAATGTAAGCTTGCTCTTTACTCCTCAAAGTAGAGAGGTGAGGAAGGGATCATAGGGATAGAATGATGTATATCACATCAAATAAAGTCATTTTGTTGGCCAGTTTTGCTTAAGGGAATATGGGAAAGTAACTGGTGTTTAAAAAAAAAGATATCAATAATTTTTTTAAATGTAAGGTTACTTTTTACCTTTAATTTAAAACTACCAGAGAAGTCTAAATTTCTAGACTGTATTCTTAGCTCCGACAGAAGCTGTTTCTTTAAACAAAAACTTATTCCTCAGAACAGTACCTAAAAGTAAGCATAATTTTAGTTTCTGGAAACCTAAAGGCCATTGTGGAATCACTGAGTGGGTTACTTACCCTACTTTGGGAAAGGAATAAATCTTTGTCCGTTGAAGCAACAAGCAACATACCTGGGTTCTCTAAAGAGTACAGAGAGACATCTATCTCAGATAAAGATTTTCTTTAATAAGTGGAAGCCAAAGCAACATTCATCAAGCTAGAAACAAGTTTTTGCATTATATGAAAACTGCCTGTAATAAGATCTCCAAGAGGAAAGATGACATATCATTTTCATTAAAACTTCACCAGACATATAAGTAACTATATGTCCACTGGTGAGAAGAGATTTTTTAGCTTATATTTTTAGAAGGGTAATTTAGCTGATGGTGCTTTACTTAGAAAATAAGGTGCCTTGTGCCCTGAAGTTTTTAATACTTTTGAAGTAACTTCCTGAGTAAGATCAGTAACAGACATTAGTAGTGAAAATGGTATTCTGGTCCATTCATCCATGAATAATCAGGGATTATGTGTGAATCTTATCAAGGTTTGGCCATCTTCTCTTAGCCAGTCCTGATAATGGTTACTTTAACATACAGAAAGACTGCTAAATGTTCATCTATTGACAGTATATCCTACCATTAACTCTGAAGGTAAAACATTAAAGACAAATAATTTTAAATAAGTCATGGAGGTCATGTTTTACTTTTTTTTTTAAAAGTAGAATCAATAGATTATGTTGTATTTAAGCTCCTGGAGTCGTCAGCTGTTGTTTGTCCTTTGTTTTCGAAGAGGACCATGACATCAGGAAGATGATGCCATGATATGCAAGTGAATTGGATTTAAGTAAGGGAGGGTTGTGCAAAGTCACTAGCCTCACTTTCTCCTCCAGAGCCATCTGGGTCCAGAGATATAGATCAGGCCAACTGGAGGTGGCACCCAGTTGTCAGCTAAACTATTGGTGAAAGTATTACCCTTCATCCCATAAAGATCTTGCCCTCGTTGACTGATGCTCACTAGATCGGTGCCCACATTGTGAAGAAGTGACTGTAGGTTTAAATATATTCCAATGAACATATATATAAAAGCATTTTGAAAATTTAAAGTGCTATACAAATGTAACATTCTTTTTCATTTAGGGTCATTGCCTTAAATAGTAGCTGTTTATTACTAAGTACCATATTCAAATGCATGTTTTTTTGCTGTAAGCATCATTATATATTTGGCACTGCGTTTGAATCAGTCCTTAAAATGAGAAGTAGTATATTCCAAGAGTATAATTTTCCATAAGCATTCTAATTACATTGGACTTTTTGACATCCCTTTGGTAAGGAGCCATCAACTTGTGTTGATAATTTAAGTCTAGAAAGTATAATAGCTCAAAGATTATTTAGTCCATTTCTCCAAACTGCATTTCTGTTACCATGATAGTAGTTGGTGAAATGATGTGAGGCCAAAAAGAAAAATTATCAATAGCCAATATATATAGTTGTCATGGTCCTCATTTTACTAACCAGAAAATCTATTCAGTTGAATTTTAGGTAATATTAAACCGTTACACTTGTTTTTCCTGCCATTTTCTTATCACCTCCTCTTTCCTTTACAGTGATTCTACCACATATGGGAAGTGCTACCTATGGAACCCGAAACACTATGTCAGTACTTGCAGTCAATAACCTGTTGGCTGGCCTAAAGGGGGAGCCAATGCCAAGTGAATTCAAACTGTGAAGATGAAACAAGAAGAATCTCACAATTGAGGAAGAATTAATAAAATAATTATTATATTTTCACTTCTGCTAAACAATGTTACTTTCACTGGAATGTTTCAGCTGTCATAAATAAAACAAACAGTGGGGAACCCCCTCATACATATGTACTTGCCTCAAAACTACATGAAAAGTGCCTAAGAATAACATTTACTTTGTGATTATCCTATAATCTAGGAAACAAAGGTGTCAATGGGTATGCAGCTTTCGTTGATGAATGTTATCTAGTCTAAATTAAATTTAAATGATTAAATAACCATTGCGTTAACTTAATGTGTGTTTGTCTAACCAAATATGAATATTTGCTTACCTCTTATGACAGAATCCCATGGTTAAAAGGGGCCTTCAGAGTCCATCTTGTTAAATTAATACCTAAAAAAGAAATCCCACTTCAACACATCCAATACGTAGTCATCCAGTTTTACCTTGAAAATCTTCACTTATGTGTGTATGCCCTTTATCTGGGTTGTGATCATAGCACTGTTCCCTATTGCCCAAGACAACTGCTTCGACTTTTAGAGCACTGAGTTTTTCCTCACATCAAGGTCAAATTTGACTCTTTGAAATTTCCACCTATTGCTCCTAGCTAAATATCCTCTGAAGCCAAGCAGAACCAATTATTTCATTCATCTTCTGAGTGATGGCCTTTCACATTATTGAGGAGAGCTTCCACGTCCTCCCCCCCCCCAATCTCTCCTTTAGGTTAAATAACCCTACTCTCTTCAGTCTTCACATGCAACGAACTTCAGAGCTTTCACAATCTTGGTTACCTTTTTTCTGGACACACACATTAGAGAACACAGTAACTTCACATCCCTGAGTTTTAGTATAAATTTGTCAGTCACTAAGCTTTTGTAGTCATTGATTTCTTTACATAGCAGTTCCCACATCCTCACTTCTAAGGGTAAAGCAGTACAGACTAACTTCTTTATCCATACATTTCTGAAAAAATCTGACCAAAATAGACCAACTCTGGTCTACAGTAACAACAGCATCCTAACATAAAAATAGATTTTTACGTATTGCATGAACTAGTGGCCTGCGTGAATGGTTTCTAATTCTTCATCTGCCATCATTTGCCATATGGCTTCCCACATCAAGCCATTTTACCAAAAATAATCATAATGCAAAGAGCAAAGATTCCGAGTCAACTCTGGATTTGACTCCTAATTCTGTTAGTAAACACCCATGTCTTGGACAAAAAGCCAAATCACCCCTCTGGTCCTCAAGTTTCTTCTCTATAAAATGGAAGATTGGAATAGATCATCTCTCAGGCTCTTTCCAGCTCTTGCTAGTCACCATCTTGAAGGTACTGATGTCCTTATTCATTCGAAGGATTTTTTCTCAATATTCACCTTAACCTCAACAGAGTATTTGACAGTTAAAAAACACCCCCTACCTTAAATTCTTTATTCTCTTGGCAGCCATGCCATCTTGGTTTTCTTTCATCTCTAATTCTTTTTTCATATCTGTTGACAACAGCCCCCAATTACCCAAATCTCATCTATCATATGGTATAGCGAAACTGCATTTGGGCTAGGTTAGGAATCCTAGACAAAGGCCATGGGACCACAGAGGTCATTTAATCTCATTATGCCTAAAGTTCATTAATTGCAAAAATGAAGAAACTACTAGATGATCACTAAGGTTCCTCACAGCTCTCATTCATTGATTTAATATAACTTGTGTTATTTATTATCTACCAGGCATTCTGTTAAGCAATAACTTCAAAATGTTAAGTTATAGTCCTTGGTCTCCAGGATCTTCCATTCTAAGTGAGGACACAAATACCTACAGCTCAAAAGCATATACAATAAATATCATGCATGAGTGGTACTGACAACCTGTAACGAGTTTAAAGTCAAACAATCACCCCTAAGTGGGGTGATTAGAGATTTCATGGAGAATCTAAGAGTTTAACCTGTACTAAAGGAATGGTAGGATTTGAACAGACAGAAGTGAAGACCTTCTGGGCAAGGGCATAACATAAATGAAACTGGAAGGATGGGATAAACAGAAGATTTGTCTGGAGCAAATGGTTCATGTAAGGGAATAATGGAAGAGAAGTGTATAAATAGAAGTTAGATTGTGGACAACCTTGGATATCAGGCTAAAAAGTATCAACTTAATCCTATAGGCAACTGAGAACCACTAAAAAGGTTTGGAATGAGAAAGCAATTTGTTGCAAGATGAGTTTTATGAAAACTGACTTCAGGGCAAAAGCATATAATACTTTTGAGTTAAGATGTGTATGGGACTTTATTCTGTATGCAACTGAAAGCCACTGCAACATGAAGGACATGTTATAAGAAAACAGTGCGTATGATAGACTGGATGGAGATATTGCTTTGCTCCAGGCATGAGGTAGTAACTAGAGTGACAACGATGAAAATAAACTTGAGCCATTGTGAAGCAATAGGACTGTATTCATTTGATATTTAATCCCATATGACCATATAACTCTCCTAGTATTGCTATCTTATGTTAATTCTTGAAGTGTGGTACTTAATAAATGTTTTCTGATTACTGATGTCCTTGAAGGCAGGAAACGAATTATAATTGCTTATATCTTTCACAGAAACCAGAACAAGGGCTATCTATGCACTTCATAAATAAATTTAAAACAATTTTTAAAGGACATTTTTTAAATTACAAAAACGTAAAATAAAATTCTATTCCTTGTCCTGGTGACATTGGAAGAAAAGGTCTTCTTTTCTCAGTTGTTTTTTTTTTGGGGGGGGTGGTCTTTTGTAAGGCATGAAGCGATGACAACAGATTAGAGTAAAAAGGAAGGGTCAGCACAAGGTGGGTAGGAAGGACTCAGAAAAGAAACATGCAAGCACAAATAGTGCTAGCGGGGAAGAAGAGGAAGCTTCTAAAGAGAACAGGGCTGCCCAAGCTCTCCAGCTGAGCTGAAGGCAAAACCCGCCTCTTCTGAACTTCCCTGTTTCCATCATGGAAACCACCATCCTTCCAGTCACTCACTTTTGCAACTTCAGGTTTATTCTTGGCTCCTCACTCACTTTCACCCCACATATGCAACCAATTGCCAAATCTTGACATTTCAACTTCTACATCTCTCAGGTCTATTTCCTTCTCTCTATTCATGGCTACTGCCCTATTTCAGGTCTTCATCACATCTCACCTGGACTATTAGTAATAACATCCTTGCCTCAAGTCTCTCCACTCCAATCCATCCTCCTCATGGCTGTTAACACGATTTTCCTAAAGCATAGATTTATGTCACTTTCCTGCTCAACAAACTTACCATCTGGAAAAGTCCTCAGAGGCTTTCTATTCCAACATTTTTTTACAGAGAAAGAAACTGAAGACCAGGAAGGTTAAATGATTTAGCTCAGTGACACAGGTAATATGCATCAGAGGCAAGAATTTGAATCCAACTCCATGACTTCAGACTCAACCGGCTTCCCCTTCACAACAGGGTTACAATCTACCTTATCATTCCTCTTTACAGGGTAGCCCAAAGTGTTCTCTTTTCTGTTCAAATACACAACACTCCACCTTGTCTCCATTTGCTGTCCCCTAAGCCTCAAATGTACAACCTCCAACTTCCAGCTTAGACTCAATCCCTCATTTCCTTCCAAACTTGATTCAAGTGCCTTCTACATTAATACTTTCTTGACCCCTTTAATTCAGGTGCCATCCCTCTCCAAAATTACCTTGTAATTATTTTTTGTATATTTATAAGTGTACATGTAAACTGTTTGAGGGTAGAAACTATTTCATTTTTATCAGTGTAAAACCAGCACACCTCAAAGAGAGCTTGACATATAGTATGTACTTAAACAAGTGTTGGTTGACCATTGACTGGAAATAAGAGAGACTAGTAGCAATGTCAGAATGGACTGGAGTGGGGCTGAATACAAATCATGGCATAGAACTGTAAAGATGTCAGAATGACTAAAGCTAATAACGTAATGAAATTTGTGAAAAATGCTAAGAACAAGAAAAGCTGACATATATTAGTACCTTAAGGTTTACAAAGCACTTTACACACATTATCTTAATTGAATGGATTCGAATCACCTGACTCAGGGCACTAAAACTGAAAATTCTTGTGTTAGACTGCCATTTCTGGGGAATCATGGATACTAGGGAAAAGTTACATCAGGACTAGGAAATGTGCAAATTTCTCTATTTTCAGTACTGAGAAGGTAGATTCTTGAACCTACTAAGCATTGATTTCTAGCAAAGTTCTAGGAGAAATTATTAAATGATTCAGGAGCACTTTGAAAGAGAACCAATGATCAATATGAATTGGCACAAGTTCCACCAAGAACAAATCACATTAGATTAGCCTCATTTATTTCTTGGGCAGGATTACTACATGAGTAGCTCAGGCAACATACAGTATAGAAAAAGTATATGTGAACTGCACATTGCTCATAATTATACTACTTTCATGATCTTTAACTCTGAAGTTTTCCCTCATATCACAAATCCTCTTCTTCCCCTCTACCATAGTCCCCTTAAATCTATTCTTTATCCTCACAGTGACAGTCCCTCTAAATTTTTTTTCCTAGTCCACCAACCTTGCTCCATTTTCTTCGTTGCTGCCTACAAATATCTGCCTTCTCCATCCTTAAAAAAATTGCACTTAACCTTGCCATCCCTTCAAGCTTCCCTCCATACCTAGATTTCCTTTCATAGGCAAACTTACTCATCTACATTGATTGCTTCTATTTCCTCACCTCTCAACCCAGCCCTAGCAATCTGGCTTTTGACCCCACCACTCCACTAAAACTGCATTTTCCAAGATTATTAGCAATCTCTCAGTGTCTAAATCCAATGGATTTATCTGTCCCCAGCCTACTTAACCCATCTTCAGTCAACACTGTCAATAGAATCTGAGTTGAAAAGAATTCAGAGGTCACTACTCCAACCTTTACCTGAACAAGAATCTCAACATCTTCAACAAATGGTCATCCGATTTTTGCTTAAAGATCCCTACTTCTCTTCCTTCAAATAGATTCTCTTCCCTTGACTTTTGAGATACTTTTTTATTCTACCATACCAACTCCTCAGTCTACCTAACAGAATCATCCACCTTCCACCCACTAATGTGGGTATGCCAAGATATCCAAGACTATCCTGGGCCCCATTCTCTGTCCTCTGATAACCTCCTGGGTTCTGGTGGTTTCTCACACTTAAATCTCCCTAATATTTTTTTTCTGAACTCCTAATCCAGACTGCCAATTGCCTGCTAGACATTATCCCTATGTCCCATCAGTATTT